GGTGGTTTCGAGAAGGGCTACTCTAGCTAGGTAGGTAGGTATGTAGGTATGTATGTATGGGGATTGGGATTGGGAATGGGAATGGGAATGGGGAGGGAGGGAGATTAGAGAGTAGAGAGTAGAGAGTAGAGAGTATATGCTTGCATCAAGCTGGTTCTGGTTCTGGTTCTGGTTCTGGTTCTGGTTCTGATTCTGATTCTGATTCTGGTTCTGATTCTGATTCTGAGAGCAGAGTAGAGCAGAGCAGAGCAGAGGAGAGCAGAGGAGAGCAGAGTAGAGTAGAGCAGAGGAGAGCAGAGGAGAGCAGAGTAGAGCAGAGCAGAGTAGAGGAGAGCAGTAGGTAACAGCTATCGAGGCCGGGCCGTTACCTTTGTGTGTGTGTGTGTTTTTTTTGTGTTTTTTTTTCGTTTTTCGATATCTGTCTGTCTGTCTGCCTGCCTGCCTGCCTGTCTGTTGGCTGGCTGGCTGTCTGTTGGCTGGCTGGCTGGACGGGAGGCACATAGATTGATCTTGTGGTGGTGGTGGTGGTGGTGGTGGTGGTGGTGGAGGGGGAGTGGATTCTGGTTCAGGGGCGGATTGAGTGAGTGAGTGAGTGAGTGAGTGAGTGAGTGAGTGAGTGAGTGAGTGAGTGAGGAATTGATTGACCAACTCGAAAATAAAAGACGGTGCGTGGTAGGCTTGCGGAAACAGATTAACAAAAAAAAAGAAAAAAAAACCTTTGTTGTGGAATGGTATTGATGGTTTAGAAAGGCGTGTGGTACAGACGAGGTTCGCACCTGACTGATATCGGTGGTCATGTCATCGCGTCGAGCGCTGAGTGAGGGCCATGTGTGTGACTTGCTTGGACCTACTTGCAACTACAACCCATTCGCTGTAAGTGTGATGGAAGACCTTTGAACTCTATTGCATGGATAATAATTTAACATACGTATATATAATTTACCATTTTTCATTCATATATACTACATATACCACAAATCAAGGACACCAGGACCTCAGCAGCGGAAGAATCAGAGGTGACAGAGAAAACATATCCCGTGGGCTCGACACCCGTACTACATCTCGCTTATCGTCTGGATAGGTAAGACGGAGGAGGTATCTTGAAGGAGAAAAAGCGCAGGAATGAGAAACGTCCTGCTCTTTATACCTCTTCTACCTGCCTCTCCGCGCGAAGAAATCCCCCAGACACACACACAGCTGCTAGCTGGCATACGTCCGTCTGTCGGCTACGACTTCCTGGCGTGTTCTCCACGCTTAGCTTCTTCAGCGTCGTCGAGACCATAGATGGTAAATAATCCGAAGCGAGCACCCCTGTCAGGAGTCTGGGACAAGCCCCCGGAAATCGAATTTACGATTGGGGATTTGCGGTGAGGGATTGCCATTTTGTCTACTGCGAGAGTGAAGGAGAGGCTGTCGGAACGGTGAGTCCGGGCCAGTGGACCGTGAGGTTGTCATCTTCTGCATTACTGTGAGAGAGAGAAGAAGAGCCTTGGGATTTACCACTAGTGGAGTGATTGATATGTGTGACAACGCTGGGCTCGACGATCGGCGCAATTACTGCGGATCGGATTTGGTTCAGCGTTTGTGATCCGTTCGAGGGGGCGCGACATCCAACAAGCGGGATTGCCTGATGGGTTGCAGTTACCGCAGGATACCAAGATTGTAATTCAATTTGGAAACGCGGAGGCGATGTCTAGTCTCAGTCGAGGGAGGCGGAGGGAGAACGCGTATAGTGCCATCATGTGCGATGCGAATCGAATCAAGTCCTTAGTCGGTGCCAAGGTCCCCTGCCCGCCTAGGTCTCAGTAACATACCCAATCTGATTCAAACTTGGCCTCGGATATGTCCCGGCAAACGTGGGCTGCCTTTCAAGCAGTTGCTTCTGCATCTTGATCTTCGCCATCTCTCGCTCGTGCTGATACACCAGCACCTTCTCGTGATGCTGAAAGGCACCTTCTTCAATAGCCAGCCGGCTTCTCACCCCGTCATTCATGATCTCGACCTGCTTCTGGTGGAACTCAATCGCCATCATATTCTTCAAACTCTCTTTCTCGCTTTCTTCGGCCGCGTATGCCTTTTGGGCAGAGACTTGAATGTCCCGCAGTTGCCGCTGATGTGCTTCTTGTCGGTGGTGCTTTTGCTTGAGCATCTTATCGCGGGAGATGTCGGCGGCTATTTCGATCTGGCGCTGGGTGATGGCTTTGTGGCTAAGTAGTTCCCGCTCGACGGCTCCTCGCTGCCGGTCTCGTGCGAGCTCTGCCTCCGTCATAATGTTCATGATCTCGGCTTCCTGAACAATACTCGTGCGCTTTAGCTCGAGTTCTCTTTGTACATCCTCGCGCTGCTCTGCTTGTCGCTTCCTGCGGGACCTTTGAAGCAGAACTTCCGCTTCGATATGAGGTGGCGCGTTGCAGTAGTCTTCAGGCTGGTCTTCCTCGATTGAGTTGGCCCAGAAGCGATCTTTGGCTCGCTTGTTGCGCAGAAGTCGAAGTAGCTCGGGTTTGCAGTGTTGTGGGCCGGCGAAGAGCCCCTTTTCGACATATTTCGTTAGCGAATAAGTATACCTCCCATCACTAAAGAGAAATGCGTCTTCGTTGATAAACTTCCACATCGTTTTCAGCAGCACCCCCAAGATGGTGACAGGATCAACCGAGTCAAGCGCGCAATGAAAGATCGTTTTGCCGGAGTAGTTGACCTCCCGAATATTCGCACCATGGAGGATCAGACACCGGATGGCTTCCTCCAGCTTCGCGGGCGAAGGAGAGTGGTCCATGGCTCGAAGACATAGCTCGGCTAGAGCACTTCGGCCTTCATGGCGATCGCTGGGATAGTCGACATCGTGTCCATTCTTCACCAACGTTTGAATGGCATCGCATCGTAGCTGTCTCGAAACTTCGTGCAGACTGCCGTCGTTGGTCTCTGCGCCTGCTTGGAGGAGATGGCCTAAGATTTCGGTGTTTGCGAATGATCCTGCGAGGTTGAGGGGTGTGATGCCTTCGGAGCTGGGTTTGGTGGCATGTGCACCTTTGTTCAAAAGCTTCAAGACAATGTCTGATCGTTGGCTTTGGATGGCTAGAGATACCGGGGTGATGCCAGACTTGGACTCGAAGTTGACATCGGCTCCTTTGTCTATCAACATCTCGATGACGGCGCTAGAGATCTTTTTCTCTGGCTGCTCGAGGGCCCAGCAGAGAATTGGCCATGGTTCTGATTCACGTAGCTCCCACTGGTTAGGATTGTATCCAATATCGAGGAGAATTCGTAAGATGTCTTTGTCTCGAGGGTGTTGTTTCAAAGCTTGGAACAGAATCGGTCCGAGTTCATTGTCAGGGTGAGCAAAGAGCACAATCTCATCTTTATCTGTGCCTACAAGTGAATCACTGAACGCTTCCAGAGCATGTTGGACATTCGATCTTTCTCCAGCGGATGCAAAAAGATACGGCATTGCCACAGCCTTACTTTCCAAGTTGGCGGTGGGCAGAAGTCTCTTGATAAGCTCAATGTCAACTTGGCGAGCTGCACGTTGAAGGGCTAAGCGATGCTTGGAGTTTGAATTGTCGCCGTATCGAAGGAAGACTTCCAAAAAGTCACCTGCAAGAGCTGTCCCGGTTCGAGACCTCTCTACAGCTTGGGAGAGGCCTTCGGCCACTGCATCCCCCGTAGCCCCTTTCTTTAAAAATAGCTCTACGATAGCCAGGCCTGTCGCTGAGTCCCACATGGTGCCTGTGCTCATGACATCTTTGAACACAGGAGAGATATAACCGCTGGCTTTTGGCGAGCTGGCGAGTATTGTCAACGTCCTCAGATCTAACGCCTTCGCGGCACTAGTCATTGCCTCTCCTCGGTCGAACGCCCCACAGCCCAGGAGAATCTTGATCAGTTGCCGATCCGATGGATTTTCCGTTGTGGCAACTGTGAGTGCTTTCGAGACATATCCATCCACAGCTTTCCCAGCTTTCAACAGCAGCTGTATGACTTGGCAACGTTCGTTTCTTGGAAGTTTGACAGCAATGGTCCACGACTTTGCCAGAATATACTGAGGAACTGGTCGTTCTAGGAAGAGACTCAAAGTTTGGATGGAAGCGCACCGAGTCGCAAGTACTAAAGCCTCACCATCGCGAAATTCTATGGAGGCATTGTGCTTGAACAGCAGCTCCGTAGCCTTGTCGTCTTTATCCTGTACTGCTTCCACCAATGCGGCATCCACAGGTTCTCCTCGCATTCCAGCTTTGAGTAGTGTCTCCAGAACAGGATAATAAGCCTCGGGCTTCTCTTTGATTGCCAAAGCACCGCCAAGCCCACTTGTCAGCGTTGACAAGGTAGGCTTACGCTGTACAAGGAGTTCCAGCAGTCCGTGTTGTCCAGAACTCGCAGCAGAGTGGAAAGCAGCTCCATTTTTGTGCTCTACAGAAGCACCAGACTGAAGGAGAAGCCCTACTAGTTCAATTTGGGCGAAATTTACCGCTGCGATCAAGGCATCTGATGTGACCTGCTCTGGGACCCCGGCTTTCAGCAGCATTTGTGCCACTCGGTATCGATCGTCATACAATTTGAGCTTCATAGCCTCTTGAAACGCGCTGGCCTTGGTTGCTGAAGTTGGCGAATTTCCTGATGTGAGAAGAAGTTCCAAGGCGTCAATGAAGTTTTCGCGGATCGCATATCGCCAAACTCTACCATCTTTGAAATTCACATCTGCCTGAGGAAGAAGGAGTTTCATAAGAGGCAAAGCAGAAGGACCTTCTTTGGCGGCGATACACAACGCTTTGCTGACTCCATCGCCGTTCGCTCCTGCTTTGAGAAGCCTCTCGCAAACAGACAGCCTGGTAGTCTGAAGGTTCATCGCTGCTGATAGTGCAAGGGACAAGCTCTCGTGACTCGGCCGCTTTGAAAGGAGGAGATCCAAAATTGTAATTTGGTTGACAGCCAAGCAGAGGGGTTTCGCGTTGTAGGAATTTACGTCCGCGCCAGCAGACAAGAGAGCTTCCACCACTCCCAAATCTTGCGTGGAAGTCGATGCGGATTCGAGTTCCTTGATAAGTGCTTGGTCTATTACATCCTGAGGCTTCACTCGCCACAGGATGGCGTCAACCTTCACTCTTCGATTTGCATCTGCAAGTGGGAGTCCCATCGCACTTTTCAACCTTTGCTCGATAGTTGGTGGGGTCGGGATAGTTCTTTCGTTTCGGAGAACAACATTCAGAATAACGGGGTCCTGCTGCTTCATGGCGAGCTCGACTGCGAGGCCATCACGGAAGCTAATATCTGCTCCTCCCTCCCGACAGAGCAGAGCTAAAAGCTTGATATCTCCAGGGCATTTCTGAAGGACGTCAATCACCGCGGCTGAGATTGCGGGAACTTCAAAGCCAGCTGAAGTGGCCGGACCAAGGAGTGTCTTGATGAGGCGAAAACGAGTTGCACTACTGTAGAGTTTCATGGCGATTGTGATGCCCTCAGCGCACGCATTTGGGGAGACTGGCCCGGTAACGAGTACTTCTAGGATTTCGGTTGACCCTTGAGACACACATGCACAGAGGCATTCGTCTGTGACAACGGCGCCGAACTTAATGAGAAGCTCCACGAGCCGGACAGACTTTTTATGACCCGTGACAGCTGCCTGGAGTGCATCAGTCACTTCTGAACCTTGAGCTCCACCACGTAGGAGAGTCTGGACTATCAAGAAGTGGTCGTTCTTATTCAGATTTGGAGGGATAGTTGAGAAGGCAGCAGCAAGCGCCCCCTTCGTCGGGCGACCTTCTAGAGCGAGGACTTTGAGCATTGAGACGCTGTTTGAAGTGACTGCTACCTGAAGACATTTTGCGGCATGGAAGTCGACGGAGCAGACGGGGGAGTTTCGGTCCCTCCCATAGGAAACAAGTAGATGTGCGGTATTGACATCGTTTTCTTCAGCACAAATGATGAGCAACATGTTACAATACATACCCGAAGCTCCATGTAATAACAATTGGGATAGAATTGCGATTCGCTCTTTGGACTGGCATGACCGCGGGATGTGTCGAACTAGCTCTGAAGCATGCTCGGGCTTCAAGGTTTGCTTCTCAAGCAGCAAAGTGACGAGATCGCTCCGCTTTCTCTGAATTGCGTGAGCGACTGCGGATGCTTCGTTGTAGTTGATGTCCGCTTTGTGAGATAAAAGTAGCTGCAACGACTCGATATCGGCATGAAGGCTTGCTTTGATAAGAGCCTCGTTAGCAGCATCGCCCACCGGACCAGCGCAGAGAAGGACTTCGATGATGGGAAGTTTTGCGTTGAGGGAAGTAGATGATGATACGACGGCGTCTAGGGCCGCGTTCAAGTCTACGCCCGATGGTCGATTTTGGCCTCGGACGATAGCAACAACGAGGTCGGTTCGATTGAGTTCAACGGCACGCCTGAGTGCAGCGGCTGACTCGTGACTCCCATCCGCTCCTGCCTGGACCAGGAGGAGAACAGCACCAAGAGACCCGCTCGCTGTCGCGGGCAAGAGACTTCGAGTGATACATGCCTCGGAGAGCCGCAGTCTTGCGCAAAGGAGGAGTCGGAGCAACTCGATGTCCCCGTGCTGGGCACAAGTCACGAATGCATCCTCGTACAAGGCCGAATTCGCTCCTTTCATATATTGTTAGTCAGCGCGCTCTTTGCGAAGGAGATCCGACTTACCATATCGCAATAGACATTCGACAATCGGCGCCTGTCTTTTTTCGAGTGCGGTACCCAATGCCCGATCTAAGCTTGACTGATCAGCCCAAGGCGCAAACAACTGTACAAAATCTTCCCGTCCAACCTCCACAGCGGCGTGGATGAGCTGGTCCCGCTGCTTCCTGTTGTCGGTGCTTCCCATCTTGGGCGCGATCCCAATGTTGCTGGCCCTTCTTTTCAGACGGTCCTTGATACTGTTGCCTTCAGGAACGACACCGAATCTCTTGATGAGAACTTCCACCACTCCTGCCAGTCCATTTTCCGATACTACTCGGGATAATGCGGCATGGAGCTCATCGTAAGTTTGCGTCTTGGAAGGAATGGTTGTGAGCCTCCTCAACCTTCTTGACTGTGGTTTTCCAGCCTCAATTTTAAGCTGCCCAAGAACAGCATCAGCTTTTCTCTCATCATCCGGGACCATGAATGATGGGACTTGGCGGGGGGGCAGGAGGTGCGGGCTTGCCGCAAGCTCGATCACAACTCCCAGCTCCCGCGCAATCTGATCGAGTCGCTCCATGGTGGATTGGTGGATGAATGGGTTGATGGATGGATGGATGGATCAGTTCCCGATGCGTTCGTCCATCTCCTGCTGCTGGTGGAGATGGGATTCTGGAACTCTGGGAATCTGGGGAATCTGGGACTCTGGGATTCTGGGGATTCTGGGGATTGGATAAAGGATATAGGATATAGGATATACAGGATCAGCTCGATGCCCAGAGGTCAGATGTTTCGACCTGGGCTTGAGCGCGAGCGCAGGCGCCAAGATGGACTGGACTGACTGCATATTCTATACGTACTGGACTGCCTACTGTTGGAAGTATCCGCAGCTGTAGCCTGTCGCTCCGCAAGTAGAGTACAGTACAGCACCGGTAGTACGTGTGGCTGTAAGACGCAGGTGCGGGAGACAAGCCATTACTCGCCAATCAAACGCGGCCAAGCACCTGACAAGCATTTGAAGCCCGCGGTGCGTACGTGGCTCCTTTAAGTCAACTTCCATACGGCGTACGGAGCATGCCTCACGGGTTTGCGGGGAATCTGGATTCGTCTTTGGTTTGACGGATATAGTAATACCTGGAAATAGTGCAATATAAGTAGGATATGCCAAAGACCTTGTTGGTTTTGCCGGTGCATCAAAAACATGTGAATAGAACATTGAAGCTCTTCTTCGATACTTCTGCAGAAATCTCCTGCATCTAGACGGGAATCAGGGGTTGAGGTGTCACAAAATGGGGTCTGATAGCCAAGTATCTACGTAGTATAAGTATGATTCGACAATTACGTAGTACGCAATAGGAGAGGGATTTCGCTGCCGAGGTGGCTCACTGAGTTATCTTAAATATAGAATCAGTGCCGCAGCCAGGAGGTTAGTAAGGCGGACGGTTTCAGGAGTTAGCGATCGCCGACCTGCTGACCTGCGTATTGTTGTTCAGAGTAGGTACCTAGTATAACGATATGTTTTCTCGACCTGCGCATATCTTGTTTGGCTTAATGCGAGTTTGAAGCGCGGGCCAAAGCGTTCTACATACAACTACAACCCCATTAGGCTCAAATAGCGAAGCAAGTCAACTCAACGAGCGAGACCCTTTCTCTAGAGTTAACTCGGTTTAAATAATTACAAGGTTGACTCGCAGATTGAGTTACCTCGGCAGCGAAATCCCTCTAATAAGCACGTGCTTATAACTGTTGGTATAACAGAGTTTGCAAAGAGCTTGGTGGTCGGAGATGAATGCAAGACAGACCATATCCGTCCCTAAGCGAGAACCTTAGCGAGAGAACCTGGAAAAGGGGTCTACGGATGAACACTCCGCAAGGAACCGACGGGAACTTTTATTCCGACGTCAAGTCAACATAAGCCATACGCACAACAGGTCGCATTATACAGCTGTCAGTTCCCACCCTTTACCTCCTACACCGAAAAAGCAACAGCGACACATTTTGGAATCAGCCCTGGAATCCTCGGATGGCAAGATACTTACTTAAATTCGGGTCGGTATAAAAGGTTTGGTGCGGTGCAAGAACTGCAAGTACCGACGGCAGGCTAGCTTGCCCGGAGCTGGATTGGTTGGGTTAAGAGGATGACGAGGGCGATCCTCCATGTCGGGTACGATCGATTGATGGGCCAAAATCAGGCTTGTCGGAGATATGTATGATGTGGCGACTAGAGAATAGTAATCGGCCACGAGTATCTAAGGACGGGAAACTACAACAAACATCTCAATACACGTGAAAGGTCGGACGGATAAAAGATTCATTCCCTACTCCCAACGCCGAACTCTCACACCTTAATCGACATACTCTTCTTAATCCCCTTCGCAAGGAAATCAACTTCAGCACTGGTCGTCCGGCTGGCACTCTCTTCCCGTTGACCTGCACTTCTCATCAGCACACACAGAAACCTTTGCGTTTAAAAAAAAACTCACTCACCCGATTTCCGCGCCGCCTTCCACGCCTGAAAAGTGCACCAATTATTGTGGCCTGCAAGAAATTCCTCATGCGCCTCGTCAATGCCCGCCTTAAACTTGCCCTCAAAGCGTACTTCACCAACTTTCTCAAGCTTCATAGTGTCATCAGATTCGAAGACGACGTTTTGGGTTAGTCGATCAGGGTTATTGGTTTTGTAGATCGGGAGATTGAAGACGGAAGATTTATTATCGACGAGGGTGTAGAGCCAGAGTACAGCGTAGTGCTTGTTCTTCCCGATAACCGGCGTCTTCAATTTTTCCGTCAAGCCTGCACCAACGAACTCCAACACCACGGGAGACAAGTACCGATGGCTGACGGGAATGACGTTCTTCGGCTTCTCCAGCGTCCAGGTGTGTCCGGCCGCAGTCTTTTCGCCACCGCCTTTGATGGCGCGGCGGGAGCCGGCGGCGCGGATATTGAGTTTGCTGGTGTTGAACGAGGAGCCGGTGCAGACGATGGGCGAGGAGAAGACAAAGGAGCCAACGGAGTAGCCGAGGAGGGACTCCTCAAGCTTCATCTTCATGGAGCGGAAGATCATGCTGACTCGGATCCTGCCGGTTCCTTCTCCTCCTTTCAGGTCGTAGAATTTTACCACGGAGGAAGAATCGTGGAAAATATCCGATAGCTTGACGGAAGCCACACCAACTAGACAATCCTTTGTTTTCTTGCGGATATCCCAGACCGACAAGTTGAGAATTGCAAGCCTCCAGTCCCGAATGTAGGTCTCGGTTGATGAGTTGTACGTCGGCGAGCTGGTAATGGACTTTACTCGTGTCCGGTAGACCAGCTGGTCGTTGATATCCGCCGACACGTATAGGGAGGGGATGTAGTCGATGCTGATTGACTCAGCCTCTCCCTCATCCTCTCCATCATCATCTTGCTTCTGGACCTGCACATTTCCCATAGACTTCTTACCGGGATTGCCCACGTTCACATTAATACATTGATGTATGGTCAGTCCCAGAATCCCAGACGGCAGGTTTGGATCCGGGACAGTGTTTTGCGCATTCTGTGTCTTTTCTTCTTCTGCAACTTCCATCTTGTCACCATGTCGGTCCCGGGGGTCCTTTGCATCGGTTCTCAATGCTTTGTGGTACTCTGCACGGGGGAAATAACCGATCTCCCATTCGAGGACTCCCTCAGCATCGGTACCCTCAACATCACCCTGGAGTCGGTCCTCCCGTTTCTGCATCTCATTTGCTTTCAAAATAAGCTCCTGTAACGGGAACTCGCAAACACCGGAAACATCATCTGAGCCAGTGGTGTCTGAGTCCCAGAGACGAAGCAGGACATTCTCGTTCCGCTTGACGTGCTCGGCCTTAATCATAATGATTGCCGTCTCTTCCCAGACCGGGTTCCGGTCACCTTTGATGATGCGAGTAGCGTACATGGGCTTCTCATACTTGCTGAACGCAATAGTGAGGTATGGGTCAGCTCCCGGTCCACGCGAATCCTGGCGCGCCAGCTGTCTCGCTCTGTGGATCTTGACAAACAGCACTCCAATAGCATCCGTATCTGTCTTTTGATCCGACCCACCAACATAAACTGTCATATCTAAACTCATTGACTTGGGCTGGACAAACTCGGCAGCAGCGCCATTGATCTGCGACACGAGAGTCGAGTCGATAAGGGGCAAGTTGAGGAGGTCAAAAACCCAAGGAGCACCAACCGAGACGGACGCATTGACTTTCGGGTTCTGGGTAAGGGCGAAAGTCATGTTCTTCAAGAATGGCAGATCTGGATGCATCTGTAGTCGCACTCGGATTGTAGCAACGAATTCCTTGACTTGCACGAAAATCGGGATCGGGAGCGGGCCGATCATCGTGAGGATGTCAACGTGCATGGCATCAGTTCGTGGTCGGAGTGGAGCTTCATGATATGCAACGCTAATCTCGAGGTTGTAAAAGACACCACCCTGTTCCTTCTCGATGGCCTTGTCTCGTGCAGCATTCTCTGCGGGAGTGGCATTCTTGCGATCGCCGTGTTGAGGGACTAGGTCTCCAAATTCGGAGTCTGGAAGTGATCTCATTGAAATCACTCGCACGGGGATTTTACCATGGCCGAGTTTTGCAATCTTGACAGTGGCAGGCACACCTGCTGGAATGAACGGCTTGATGGTGTCGTTGATCGTCGTGGCTATGCCATCAAAGAACTCTTGCTGGAGGGTATGCCATAAAGTCTCCACAAGACTGTTCATCCACTCAACGGATTCCGGAACATATCTCAGCTTCTCGACTTTGGGTTCCGTCTCATGAAATTTTTGGGCTCCAGCACTCTCTCCAACATTGATGAGGATAAAGTAGACTGCGGCAGCAATACCGGCAGCTGGGAAAAGCGACTTAACCAGTCCATTCCAACCCCCACCAATGAACAGCCAATCCAGGATCACGATAGCCCCCGAAATCACACAGGCCACTGTTCTGGCATCTTTTTGGATCGTTTTGAAAGCAATGCTGAGATCAACGTTGGGCGTTGGTTGAAACAAAACATTGGACTTTTCAGCTCCGATCGGGACATCCTCTGTAGCCCCAGCGCGAGCTTCGTCTCCTTTGGTTGGAGCTTCGTGACCTGTCGTATCTTTGTCCGTCTGCTCTGGTTCGATTTTATCTGACCCTTCTGCGAAATACTTTCTGGATTCTTCATGTCTTTGCCTTTCGTGTTCATGGAACCCTTCGACTGTTGGAGGGGGGTTTCTTGCCGAGTAGGCTTGGCCAAACTTTGTTGGTTCTACTCGAACCGGGTGGCTTGTCTGGCTGGTCTGGCTGGTCTGGGATGGCGGCAGATCTGATGGGTTTGTAGAACGGGGGGATACAACATCAGATGTATTCAAGGGCTGGCCAGCTGTAGACGAAGCCAAACCAGGTGCTGGACTTTGGCTGACAGATGGGGATGAATTTGTTCCAACTGCCTCGACAGGCGTGGGAGCTGGTTTCGAGATTGACTCGTCGCTACTTCGAGGCGTTGCTAGATGTGATGAGTTTGTTGTATCCGTTGATGGAGAGGTAATCTGGCTGGGAGCAGGCTCATAATTCACATCTTTCTGGATGGGTAGAGGTTTTCGTGCGATGGTATCATTCTTTGGTCGCAAACCTTCCCAGGTGCTGTATATTCCTCCGGTTGGAACGGTTGCACTTGCGGTAGCTGCCGTGTCCATCTCTGTATCTTTCTTTCTGAGCAGTATTTCGGCTGGAATTTGGCCTCCAGTGGCTCCTGTGTGGTATTGATCGTCCGCCATGTTGGATATCGAGGGGTACGCAAGAGGGAGAAGGGAGAAGGGGAGGATTCCAGCACTCGGAATGCCTCAGATGGCGAGGATCATGAAGGTTGATTAAAGATTGAGTAAGAAGCTTCAATTGAGTCCATTCCAAGCAAAGGAAGGAGTAAAGAGAAGTTTTCCTGCATCCGACAATAATTGCATGACGGGTGATGTCATCCGAACCCGACCGTCGATCACCCATCAAACAAGGATGGAGCTCCTGCTTTCATTTGTGTACTACCATACGTACGTCACTGACAGCTACAGCTAGGTACCTCTCTCTCAACACCAGAAATTCACATACACAATCCAACATCCGAAAAGGCGATGAACAAACAAACCAAACTTCTTCTTTAATCGACAATGAACCATTGAAGCACATCCCGGAATAGCTTCATCTTCATCTTCATCATGCCCCCATATTCGGCTAGGAACAAGGTAGCTACTCCCTCACCCTCACTCCAGTCTAGACGAATTCTAACTCCTTGTACCTAGGTTCCCACGATTCAGAAACTCGGAGAAGAACTCGCCCAACGGCTCAACCTTCAAAATGCGGACGCATCCAAAGCAGCAGCCGGTCATCTCAAAGATGCAGACAAAATCGCCAAAGCCAAAGCCGCCTCGCGTCGCAAGGTTGTTGATCCAACAACCAAAAACGAGGTCATAATCCAAGACGTAGACGGCGATTTTGCCGATTCTATCCACCGACCGAAAATCACCGTCCCGAAAGCCGCAATCAACTCGGAGAGAGCACCGGCGCCGGGGAATGTTCCAGGTGTACCAAAACCACATTTGCCTGACGGAGATGGAGAGGACTACAGAGCAACACTCGACGACTTGGCTCCTCCTGAGGCGAACCCAGACAAAACAAGAGACTTGTTGCACCATTCCAAGAACCACGAAATCATTTACCACCCTCTGCCCGTGGCAGATCTCCAGAAGTCGTTTTATGCCTTGGAGGGAACAATCATGTATACCACGATTGCCGCAACTGTCGGACTGGCACTTCTCAACTGGATTTTTCTCGGGGGCAGGATCAAAGGGCTTGTTGGATCGGTCTTCGCTGGCGTCATTCTCTCTTCCGGCATCCATCTCTGGCTCCGAAAGGTACAAGAAGGAGCGAATGCTGTCAATTGGGATGCCGAACGAAAACGAGCAACTGCTGCAACTGAATCTCTGGTCCCAGAATCTGTAGAATGGATGAATTCACTGGTTGGCATAGTCTGGAATCTGATCAACCCTGAGATGTTTGCTGCAGTGGCTGACACCCTCGAGGATGTCATGCAAGCATCTGTTCCCCCCTCGCTTATTCAGAATGTCAAAGTTTCGTCTATAGGACTTGGCGATCAACCGTTCAAGATCCTCTCCCTCAGAGCCTTGCCGTCTGCAGATGACGACGAAGCACACAAGAATGACAATGATCTCAGCGAAGAAGATAAAAAGAAGAAGCAGGAGCAACGAGAGTTGGAAGGGGAGGATGATCCGAGCATGAAATACTACAATCTGGAGGCTTCTTTTGCATACCATGCCATCCCGGCTAAGGGTGTCATCGGAAAGGCAAAGAACTTGCATTTGGAAGTTGTCTTCTACCTGGGAGTCCAAGGGCTGTTCGGTGTGCCTCTCCCCATTTTCGTTGAATTGAACGGCATTATTGGGACTATTCGTCTCCGCTTCCAACTTACGCCAAACCCACCATTCCTCCGTAACGTGACATTCACATTCATGGGGCTACCAAAAATCGATGCATCTGCTGTACCTCTTACATCCAAGGGCATCAACGTCTTGGATCTCCCTCTCATTTCTGGCTTCATCAATTCTTCGATTGCTGCTGCTCTCGATATTTATGTCGCACCCAAGTCACTGATCATGGATATGTCCAAGATCCTCCAAGGAGACGGTGTCAAAAAGGAGACTGATGCTATCGGATTGATCTATATCAAGCTAAAGCGTGCGGAGGGCATTCCTGCACAAGACAGATCCGGAAAGAGTGATCCATTCATCACCTTGGCATACTCGGAGTTCGGTAAGCCTGTCTACTGCTCGAGAATTATCGAGCAAGAGCTGGATCCATCATGGAATGAGCAAACCTGTCTTCTGGTCTACCAGGATCAGCTCACAGCCGGAGAAAAGCTGTCGGTTGAACTCTGGGATTCCGATACCGTGGGATCGGACGATAAGGTTGGAAATGTCAAATTTGACCTTCGTGATTTGATCAAGGACTACTCTAATAGGATTGAAGAGAGATGCGATGAATTGATGGACGACGAGGAAAAACCTCTGCCTGGGCATCTGTACTGGGATATCGGATATTTTCCTCGCTCAACCTTCAAGAAGTCCATGCAAACGGACGGAAAGGACGATACCATCCCAGCTTCAATCCGCGATCGTGAAGAATTTGCAGACGACAAGGGAACCGTTACAACTGAGCAGGAAGTCGGTGTCACAACTACACCACCAGATCCATCTCTGCCTTCTGGTATTTGCTCCATTCTTATCCACCAAATTGAAAACCTCGAGGTTGAGAGGCCGTCTGGGAGTTTCGGAAGCTACGAACCATGGACACCGGCTCAAATCACTGGCGAGAATACGGATGAAGAAGGAGATGAGCTGCCTTCCTCGTACTGTAGCATTCTCCAAGATGACGAGCTTGTTTTCAGAACGCGAACGAAGGTTCACTCTTCAAATCCCATATTTAATGCTCAAACAGAAAGATTCGTACGAGATTGGAGGAATTGCGTGTTTACGATCACTTGCCGGAACCATATCAATCGCGAACACGACTCAATTCTCGGTGCTATCACCATCAAGCTGAGCGAGGTTCTTCACACGTCTTCTCAAGTTACGAAGGTCTTTGCTCTTGACGGTGGAATGGGATATGGACGTATGACGGTTTCGGTATTGTTCAGATCCGTCGACTTGCAACTGCCTCGAAACCTGCTTGGCTGGGACTTGGGCTCATTCGAGCTTCTCGGCGAAAAAGTGCTGGTGGAAAATGATAGCACTGGACTGCTGAAGAGCTCCCGCATCGCTATCCACACTGACGTCGGCAAATCTTCGATATCTCGACGCTGGATCGAGCCAGGCTCTGATGGTACATCCTGGAATCTGCAACGTATCAAGGAAAATGGGAAAGATATGCAGAAGCACCGTATCATCGTCCCAGTCCGCCGCCGCTATCAATCTGCCGTCAGACTCGAGTTCTTTAACAAAGGATCTCGAAAGGCGGTTGCTTACGCCATCTACTGGCTATGCGATCTTGTTGATAACAAGGAGACTGCTCTTTGCGTTCCAGTGTACAAGACTCCAATGCCAAAGCAGATGACCCAAAACTACATCTCAAACATCGAAATGGACAAGATCAAGGCGGAGAGAGTTGGCACGATCAAGATGACTGTTCGGTTCAAGATGGGAATGGATGACACGCATCTTCAGTGGCTGAAAAACAACAACGAGCGAGAGACTTACGAGTCGTGGCTGTGTACAGTAGCTGAAGGCTATCGAACTCGAGTCGTCAAGCGAGAGACTCCAGATGCTGTCAAGCAACTTGCTCGCGAGGGCAAGATTGTCGGCTACGATTCCAGCAAGACAGATACGATTTCCGAATTCGGCACTATTAGACACACTAAGACAGGGTCCAGCGATGAAACTCACGCCCGACACTCTAGCGATGCCACCACCGACTCCCAAAAAGATGATTCTAATGACGAAGAGCCTGAGCCTGTCAAAGTCCCCCGCGAAGCACCCGGCTACGAGCAAGAAGTTGAAAACTACCATGAGACGTCCACCGACGAGCAATGGGCCGGTTTCGGCGGAGAGATCACCAAGTACACGTCCGTGCCGTCGTCTATCGTTTCAGACGACCGCGAATCGCTTAACATTCAAGAGGACTTCACGGATAGCGACATCGAGGACGAGGAGCTGAAGAAGCGGCGGCAGAAGCAGGATAAGGTTCACTCGAAGCACGAACTGCACCGCAAGCAGAGAGGCACGATGAACATCAAGGCAATTCGGCATATGAAGTTCCTGAAGGACGAGGTGAAGGTTGCCGGACACAAGCTGAAGGGGAGGTTCTCGATGAAGGGGAAGGAACCTAGTGGTATGTACCCCGTCCTACTCATCATCCTTCTACGCGCTAATGTGGTGCAGTTGAGACTGAAATGTGAGATATCCCGGAGGAAATATCGGGGAATGAACCTCGGGGGAGTTTGGGCGTACAAATAGACCAATGCAAAGCTTACTACAGATTCATACAATAGTCCTTGCACTCTTGATTATTTATGATTGAAACCCATCCGGATCCACATCATGGTCTCGGTTCACTCAGCCTCTGTCCCCCTCCCTCTTATCATTACCACACCAGTCACATTAATATATTCAAAGGGTGCAGCGCCACTTCACCGCAATTGTACTGTCGGATCCCCGCCCCCCTCTGATTTAATTTTTTCCCAGCCTCAAATTATTCAAGAACTACATACATAACACAGATGTGACAAGTACGAGAAATAGCCTATACCCTATGGTGTTGTGTCCGCCTGTTTTATTATCTCAGCTGAATTTTAACCTAACAGCTGGTCCTGATCTATTTACACGATTTCGTCTTGCTCCCGTCCGTCGAGAATGACCAGCATAGGTAACGCCGGAGATTATATCTTGAACGATGCTGAACCTTTCGTCTAATGCCGTTTTAACCCGGCTTCATTTTCATCCACATTAGCAAAGGCCATGGGTCTCTTCCTACGCGAGGCAAGGTCGACTCTTTGATAATGATTGATTTATTGAAGGGGGTTTTCATGTATTGCTGGAAATAATGTGTCGGAATATAAAGGAACAGGTGGGCAGTATCGTTTTGACGCTGGTGAGAGATAAGAAACGGGGATTTGATTTGAGTTTGCAGTTTGGAATGGTTTTGTTGGCGGACGGTGGTGGTGATGATGGTGATGGAGGAGGAGTCGAGGGGAAGGTAGAGCAGCCGGCCGAGAAAGCAGATGTAAAGACGGGCTTAGAAGGTTCTTGGGAGAAAGAGTGGGTAAGGTCGGCGGAAATGTCAGAGCTTCTTATGAGGGTAGGAGCGAAAATAATTTTTTGCAGTCCCAAATGTTTCGCAGTCTGGAAAGTTGCCTTCTTGCCTGGCAAGTAACGAAATTTCTGATTATATCCCACGTCTCTACCTGTCTGTTTCACCGTATATTCTTGTCTTTCAGGTTGCAGCTACCGTCATTAACAGCGATCCACGATAACCATGATTCGTCATGGTTAAATGTACAGACTCGGCAATACGTACTCGGGAATTCGGTGTAAGCAGTACCGAAAGACGATGTCACCTTACCTCATGAAGTAGACTTCCCTTTCACTCATATTTCCTATAAGTAGAGACTCTCCAAAAAATACACAACATGGCCTCAACTTTACCATTTGGGGCTGATCTCGCCTGGTCCCTTTGGGATGCCGAGCCACTGGAAGGCGCATTTACTCTTCAAGCGCACGCCGAGCCTACAAACACCAGTGGCGTGGTCAAAGACGTCTTACGGCCATGGATGTTCGGCTACAGATCACCTAAGCCAAACGGTCAGGCCGTTCTGATCATGGGTGGAGGTGGCTATGTCGAGCTCATGGTCGGCAGAGAAGGTGTCGCTGTGGCACACTGGCTAACAACACTCGGAATCAACGCATTCGTCCTCGTTCATCGCTTCCCGACGGCGAAGACGGGCGCCCAAGCGCCGGTAGATGATGCTCGTCGATGCCTATGGCTTATTGAAGAGAGTGGGCTTGCGCCAAAGGGGATGGGAGTCTGCGGGCTGTCGTCCGGTGGTCATCTTGCTGCTGCACTGTTGGCTGCGTACCCTGCTTCTTGGACATATCCCAATGGAATGGAAACGACTCCAAGCCCGACCTTCGCAATTATTGGCTATGGGCCTATCTCTACGAATGCCGTTGGCCGGACTATCGTCGCAGACAAGGCGCCGCTTGCGCCACCTGAGAAACAGGAGCTGTATAACGTCATTCAGCCGGATGTACAACTCGTTTCACCAGCGCCTCCTACATTTATCGTGTACTCGGGAAATGACCCTGTTGTTCCGGTTGAAAACGCATATCGATTGAGCGAGGGGATCACGAAAGCTGGAGGGGTGGTTGAGTTGCATGTTTTTGCTGATGCGCCGCATGGGTTCGGACTTGATACTACTGGTTTGCCAGTCTCGAGATGGCCGCTGATGTGTGGAGATTGGCTAGAGCAGAATGGGCTTTTGTAGACATGGAATTGGGGGTATGATGATCCAGATGAAATATTTATATTGTTCTTAGAAGGAGAGGCTAGGCGACGAAGTGCGTTTTAGTGCTACCAACTTGCGATACTGGCCAGTCGGCACTTTGAAACCTCAATTAGCAGAAGATCATAATATCTTACATCTCATCATATGGTGACATTCCTTTTTTTTTTTTTTTTTTTTTTCTTCGAAATAACTAGTTTATAAGCACGAGTTAAAGTCAAGGATGGCAAAAGCCGCGGAACATCTGATCCTATGCGAATTGTTTGGCCATTTGTGCAGTATATACTCTGGTTCAGGGACTTCAGTAGGCCACCAAAAGTGGATTTGCTACGGCATAAGTAAGGCCTGTTTTCATTTTGACGAATGGGTCAGTTGCTTCTGCCTCCCTTGCGACTATCCTGATGCATCTTCCAATTGGAAGGAGCGATTTGTCCGAGGATCCCGAACCTTCGCATATTTAAGCGAGAATTTGGTGTAACTTGTTTGAAAACATTTTCATTTGGATGGTGCCACTTCATCACCGCTATCGCTGGCATCTATCGGAAGCATGGTGCGACCAGTGCGATGAGGTATTGGCCATCATTTCGCAAACATTATCACATGGCCCTCCTCTCTGTTTATTCTGCTGCATTACAGCATCTGAATGTAGGTAGGGACTGGCTGGATAGAGCGACGCGTAAGTTTTTTTGGTCCAAAAATCGATGGCTTGGATGCAAAACTCTCGATTACTGAGGTGTGGTGATGCACATCGGCTATTCGTCACTTTCCATGGTCTGATATCAAGCCTCTAGCATCATTTTCATTTCTCGAGATATATAGCACTGACGTTCAGCCGTCAATTCTGGCTCGTATTCCGAAGCAATAGTCACAAGCTCTCACTCTGATCTCCCAACAGCCGACTATTAAGCTGTCGCAATGAATAGCCTCCTTGCACGCACCAACGATGCACTCAAAATCAATCCTCCTTCGGGGGACTTCCACCTTGTCGTCAACGGCTCCAATTGGCTCTGGGCCGTGACCGCCATCTACGCCTTTTCCCTCCTCGTAGTGATCGGTCTCACCTACTTCGCCAAGAACGGCGAGAAGATATTCCACTACCTCTTCCAGATCTCCTTCTTTGTGGGCACAATCTGCTACTTCGCCATGGCATCCGATCTTGGGTCCACCCAAATCAAGACTTCAGTCCAAGACCAGGGGCTCCGACAAATCTTTTACACTCGATACATTAACTGTGTGTAATATTCCTCTCTACAGAGTATACGCCACACGCGGATTGTACTAACAGAGACAGGGTTTGTCGGCTGGACCCCTCTCATCCTCGTCGTAGGCCTCATCAGCGGTGTTTCCTGGGCAACGATTCTCTACAACATAGCCTTAACCTGGATCTGGGTGTCCTCCTGGCTCTCCGGCGCCCTCGTAGCATCGACCTACAAATGGGGCTTCTTCGTCTTCGGTACCTTCGCCTACTTCCTCCTCTCGGCCTCCCTCCTCACCAGTGGTCTCAGAACGGCGAAGCGCCTCAAAATCACAAAACACTACAGCCTCATTGCCGGCTCCCTGATCCTCTTGTGGTTCCTGTACCCCATCGGGTGGGGTCTCGATGATGGTGGCAACGTCATCTCTGTCACCTCCGGCTTCATCTATTTCGGGATCCTGGATCTGTTGACGGTGCCGGTGCTTGGACTCGCAGTGTTATTCCTGGCTAAAAAGTTTGATTACAGGAGCTTGAATCTGTACTTCACGCAGTATGGGAGAGTTTTGCCGAGAGAGTATCCAGATGGCTCAGTTGTGGAGAAGGTTAATCCTAGTGCCACGAATGCTGCGGCTGTGGAGCACCCGACTCCTGTTCGCGCTACCCCCGAATGAGTAGTTTAGATGATGCTAAGCAAAGGGTGAAGTGAAGAAAATGTGGAGTTCAAGACAAAAGCTTGCGCACACATGGCATGGTTACTAAAGTTTGAGATTCTGTACCGGTACTTATAATACTTTACGGAAGTCTCTAAGCAATGTTGGGAAATCTGGAACCTTTTAAGAAGAGGGATTGGAGGGAGCCGCGTTGTCTAGCAATATACCCTCTCAACTTATGTATGCGAATGCCTCGCCGTCCTTATCGCATATGCCGGAAAACCGACCGAGGATACTTCTCGGAGCGTTGGTTTCATTTTCTCCAGCGACCGTAGGTGAGGTCGAGAGTGTTTCGTCTACATTTCGGTGATCTGCGTCATATACATCGAGCAATATACGCCACAACCAAGCAGAGGGTTTCATACGATGGCTTACTGAAATTTGAGTGAGAGTACATGCGAATTCAGATAAGGTTTAATTCGACTGTAGTCATAGGCGTTATTGTTCAGCAGAGCGGCTTAACTTGTCTACCCGGCAGGTGGCGGCACACGGCTTTCTGGCAAGAATTTCGGGACTTGCGAGTATAATCACAAATCTTCTTATCTAACCTTGACTGTGGATTTCAACTATCAGTCCGCATGTGTCTGTGAGTTGCTCCAGATTAGTTCCAATTTAGGAGCCATTCGCGATTACAGATCTCCGTCGTCTTCAACACTCTTTCTGATCCCAAGCAATACCATCTGCACCGACCAGAAAGCCCGCGACGGCGGACGGCGATCCATACCGTCGTAGTCCTCCATGATATGGCGCAAGGCTACGCCAGATTAGATAGCCGTGGGAGTAGGAGTTTCGGAACCGGATCGTGGGCTTGGGCCGGCTCTGATGTTGGTGGAGATGCCGATGCCGTGCTTTTCAGTAAGAATCAAGATTGCTGTTGGGTGACTCTAATGGAAAAACTACGCGGGACTTATCATCGTGTATTGGAATCCACTTTGATTTTGAAGGGGGCGCATCGACGTGGTAGGTATTGTTGGAAGAGAAATGTGTCGCTTTCTGGCGGCGTCGTAAGAGAAAGGGTTAAGGCTAGGAGCGCTAACCCATCGATGCCTTTCTAATTCTGCTATATTTGCATTTTTATAGCTAAGAGATTGGTACCACAGCTTTTATCGACCGCTCCAGATTCCGTCAGAGTGGTGGGTCATTGCGGTAGAAGTATTGATACTGTGAGTGGGATACTTAGCTTCAGTGTCACTTGACTATATCATGCCCTGTGCTACCCTCTGACAAGTATTGTTAACCCGCAAGGTAAAGTGCATGCGTTAATCTTCCGAGAGATCGTTTGAGCGATTCACAGTGTTACCTTGAAAGAGTGCCTATATAAGAGCCCATCCCGAGAAGCCAGTCTTCTTCACGTCTACCATTTATCCAAAGCGCCCAACCAAGAAACCCTTCCAGCATTCTCCAGACATATCATCATCAAAATATCCTATTCAACGATAGGCGAAGCATATTTACCGTATACTTCCCCAGGAAAACCCCAAACCGTGCACCACTCACTACACCTGTTCCCGCAATGTGTTCCGGAATAGTTTTTCGCTTCCAAGGGTGTGACCACGCGGAAGAACACAAGATGCAATGCATGTATATTAAAGAGGATTTCGGACCTGAAGCATACTGTAGTATTATTCGCTGGCTCAGTATCATGCACGAAGACGAACATCGCCGCTTCCTCCCAGGACGGTGCGTTGAGTGTCAGAACGCCATAAAAGAGGCCTATGATAGGAAGACTGCTGAGGGTAAGGAGGCTAGAGAAAGAAAGACTGGAGAGGAGAAGAGTGGAGAAGAAAAGAGTGGAGAGGAAAAGAGTGGAGAGGAAAAGATTGAAGAGGAAAAGACTGAAGAGGAAAAGACTGGAGAAGGAGAGACTGAGGGGATAAATTTTGAGGATAAGAAAGATGTCGAGAAGAGAGAAAGAAGGAAGAAATGTGTCGAGGAGAGAGAAAGAATGATGAAGGAAGTGCAAGACGAGATTGGATTCCACTTCTGAGAATGGGGCTGCGAAGAACCAAGGGATTGCTTATGTAAAACAGAATGAGGCATTGGATTTGAGTATCCCGAGAGTCAAACCCGTGATAGCAGGTAGCTTTCGCTAGGCCAAGCACCTCGTCGCAGCGTCAATAGTACTAGATTAATAAATCCTCTTGTCAGTGGCAACGCTTCAAAGTTCAAGGCAAAGCGAGCGTCTCTAAGAGTGGAAGCGACTTGTTGCCCGCGAAAACTATAGCAGGATCAAATAATGTTAGCTAATCAAACAAGCGATCTACGAATCATTCCTAGTAATATGAAATTTGAGTGGAAGAAGAGTAAGGTGTCAAGTGTTGTCTATGTTCGTTCTTCTCTCTGACGTGAAGCTTGCCCACAGGTTGCGATTCACATACCAAGCCCGAGAGTCAATCATTGTTACATTCGACTTCCAAGCCCAGACCACAGAGATCATAGGCAAGTGGTCACTGGTCACCACGAACGCCCTCAGCTCCAGCTCTCAAGAGTCTCAACACCCCCTATTATTCCACACGTGATATGTTTCTCAACCCTCGCTCCTCCATGTCCCAAAGCTATCGCAAAATCCTAATAAGCGACTCAAATCATTCTTCAAGGCCTGTTTGTTTGTTTGCTTGTTGTCCATTCTTTTTTGTGCTGTCCCAACTCAACAAATCGAAAACTCAACGCAGTGCTTTGTAACCCATCTCGTGACGAAACGAATACATCCCCCCGACGAAAAGCACCGGCCTCGATCAGTTAACCATAAAAACAGCGACGTGCAACAAAAGACGACATTCTTCTCTCCAATTGGCTCGCGCCCTTTGCGATCGTCAGCCAGGCCGGGTTGTTCACTGTTCAGCCACCCCCTTTTTCTCTTAACCCTGCAAATCCAACCCTCGTTCCGAGAACGAGGGAAGGTTAGGGGTCGGGATGCGATGTGCAACAAAAGATGCCCGTACCGTACCAATGAATCAACAGCATAAATATATATAAATTACTTGGACTATATCCATACTGGTGTAACGCCCATGTGCTCGAGTCCTGCAGCTCGTGGCAAAGCTGCAGGAACCCCTTGGCTGCAGCTGAGCAGCCGTACCGCTCTACCGTACTGTACCGACCCTTTCGCGGCCGTCCTGGTTCGTTCTACGGACTTCGACAAATATTCATTTACTCCAGTCGCTTAGCTCTAGACCACTGGTCTTCCCATCTCTAGTTCCTACATCTGTCAATCCGCTGATTGACCAAGAGATATATAGTAAGAAACCGCCCAGACCATCTATCTGCATGCGAGCTGCACGCACAAGATCCGCACCACAGACAGAGGGTCAATAGTTGCGTCATGATTTTCTTACATGTAATATCCGGCCCAAGATCTGGATAAGAGATAGAGCTTTCGCTCCGAAGACTAGTAGTGTAAAGCGAGACTATTGATATTGAAACTGCGACCCTTACGGCCGCAGGACTCAGTCAGGCTAATCTTCTGCTTACAACCCCGTAAAATCAAAGCCGAATTGCCGTCAGAATCGACCTTCGTACGTAGCTAATGCCGTCTTATCTTCTCGCGGGGTCTCTCGCAGACCGGCAGCTCGCGCAAGTACAGCTAGCCAGTCGTCAAACCAACCCGCGAAAAAGCCACCTTCGCTTAATACGAAGTAAACAAACCTGCAATCCAGTCCCCAAGCCAGAACTCGTCTCCCTCCCTCCCTCTCCCTCTCCCTCTCTCTCTCGCTCTCACTCTCTCTCTCTGTCTCGCTCTCGCTCTCGAAAATCGACTACTACGGCAGGCAGCAGAAAGGAGCCGCCTGGCGAGAAGAGTCTCTCCATAGTCGCCTCGAACGTGGTTCAAGCTTGCAACGAGGAAAGACCAGAAGAAAGTTCGCTATGGCGGCGGCACGATCCGCATCTCACTCAGCCCTGGACGGCGCGGACCACGGCCCTCGGACACCTTCGTGTTCGCGCCCGCAGTCACGGCGACGCTGGGCAGCGGGCGAGGTGTCCGGCTCCGAAGGGCAAGCTCGGGCGGGTGTGGTGGACATGCAGGCTTACGATTACGATTACGGTTACGGTTACGATGGCTAGAAAAAAAAGGGGGGAAAAAAGGGGACAAAAAAAGGGATGGAATACGATTCAATAGATAGATAGAAATCACTCACTCACTCACTCCCTCACTCATTTGTACAAAAGATTTCATTTAACCAAAGCAAAGCAGAGCAAAGCCGAAAAGAAAAGAAGAAAAAGAAAAGAAGAAAAAAGAAAAAGGAAAGGGAAAAAAAAAAGAATGCCCTTGAGAAAGTATAATGAAAAAACAAACAAACCATCTCATGTCCTTAATCAGAATTTTCAAAGGCCGACCAACCGACCCGAATTCAAAGTATGAAGAACAGGCTCCCCAAAAAGACCAATCCCAATCCAAACCCCCACCACACACATCACGCATCCTGAGATTGGATTGGAAATCTTCTTCCTCCCCCTCTCCTCCACCACCTCCCATGTCGCCATCGCTGAAACGCTCAAAACCAACAAAGAAGCAGCCTT